AATATAGTTTTTGATATTGTCTACTAAAAATTTTTTGAAGACCAAATCAAGCGCAAAATTATTTCTCAAAAAGATTCTAAGTTAAAATAAAATTAAAATTTAGAATAAGTTTATTATTTTTTATCAAAGTAGCGGGACTTTTTAGATTTATTTTAAGTAAACAATAAAATATATTATAAGAGCACATATAAAAAAATTACTCTTAAAAGTGACAACAATAAAATTAAGTATATAAGAGCAGAACCACTTTAAGCATCCAAAGCTTATATAAAATTTTCTTCTACTTAGTATCATTAGCCTTTACTTAGCTACAAAAATATGGAAGAGAACGTAAACCTGTTTTTACAACTGCAATGATTTTAAAAACTTTTTCTTCACATTTTTTAATAAAAATTTTTCTTTTTTTTTTTCTTTTAACAGTTAATTTTTACTTTTAAACATAATACTGCAAAACATATAGAAGCAGGAGGCTGGATCTACAATATATATATGAAAAGAACGTAAAAATAAACATTGGACACAACACAGTAAAAGATGAAGAAAGAAGAAAAAAAATTCCAAAAATTAATGTAATAATTCATAGTACTTTTATTTTAATATACTATAAAATACTTAATACTTTTTTTTCAACTGGTCCTAAAGCACTGCCAAGTATCAAATTCAAAGGCTTTAATCCTTTTCACTTTAGTATTTCTTTCTTTTTCTCCTCTTTATATGTCAAATATAACAAAACTGTAAAAGAAAATGTTATTAAGATTATGCCTTTTTGTTTTGTATGTCACGTTTAGTTCTGTAAAAAGTGAGGACGATCCCTTTTTTAGCACTTTTCCAAAAATTTTTTGAAAAAAGTGCTTATTAGTTTCACTCTGTCCGTCCGTCCGTCCGTCCGTCCGTCCGTGTGTCTGTTTACAAAACTTCTACATTCTTAAAGATAGAAAGCTGAAATTTAATACGTACATAGATCTTTACTAGAAACTTATTTTCGTAGAACAAAATTTTTACCTATCTCCCCCCCTCTAGAAGTTATACCACCCCAAAGCACTAAAAATAGCCTATTTTAACTATTTGTTGCAATGAAACCATAAGCATTTTTGAAATTTTGCAAACGCAGAAAGGCAGTAGCTTCCTTCCCCTAGCGCAGTATACTATAGCTAAACTTTAGAAAAACAAAAAGTCCTTTTTATCTAAAGTCCTTTTTTTCCAAATTTTTGATCTCGTTTTTCTTCTAAACCCCATAATGTAGAACTTTGAAATTTTAGCAGCTTTTAGACATTAATAAATAATTCATTTCGTTAGAAGAAAATTTTTTTCCATCTCCACCCCCTCTCAAGTTATGGCCTCTTGAAATTTGTAAAATTTGCATTTTCGCCGCCTTATATTTCTGAAACCGCAAGCTTTTTCAAATTTCTATAAACGCAAAAAGTTAACGGTAAATTCCATGATATTAAAAAATATAATTATTTTTCTTAACTCATACAATTAAACCTTAAAATCGAGCATTACGTTAACCCCTGCTTATATTAATTTTTGCTTTATTTCAAAGACTGCATAAATCGTTCATCCTAAACATATGCAATCCTAGAAATAGTTTTGTATATGAATGAAAATAATTTTAATAGTGTGATAGGTATACATACTCGTAGACTGTATTTAAAAGCAGAATTTTCACTTGTTGAAGGGAAAAGTGCTACAATACAAACCATTGGTTTGACCCAACTTTATTTTATTAATATTTTTCTTTAAAAATTTTCTTCCTAAAGATATAAGTAGTATTTTGTGAAAAAAAAACCATGAGGAAAATGATATTTTTGCTATTGGTGTTATAGTAAATTCAAAACGTTTATACATTGAGTTTAACGTTAACAATATTCAAAATTTTAATAGACATTTACGTTATATTTCATTTTATTTAACATTCAAATAATTTAAACATATGTATATCATAGTGTACATTATTTAAATATCACAAATTGATTTAGTACAGACCAGAGATTGATAACTGTGTGATATATATAAGTTAAGTATAACTTAAAGAATAATAGTTTGGTTTTATTAAAAACAAGTTTGGAGGAAATTCATGATTTCTTCAATAGCACTTTCTCCTTGGTAAAAAGCTTGGAAAAGATACAGTTGTAAATGCACTCTTCTATATTTAAGATATTCACATTGATGTACCTAAATTATATTATGCAATAAAATAATATTTATTTCATTCTCTTAGAGAAAAACATTTAAAGTAGCGTTAACGAAGAATCCCATAGTTATCTAGATGAGAAAGAAAAGCAATTTTATTTTCTAACGTATTAAAAAGAATTTTTCATCATTCTTTTGTTTTTATAGAAATTAAAAACAAATTAAAAATTAAGTAAAAACTTATAATTTTCGAAAAATAAGGACTCAAAAATTTAAATTGATCCCAAAATAAAATATTGGAAAAAAATCATTCTTTAACAGGGAGGCTTAAATAAAGTGACGCAAGAGTTTTTCTTGCTCCATTTAAAATTATTTTTAACAAATTTTCTGGAAATAAGGAACCGCAACCAGCTGAATCTGCTCTAGCAGTACTTTATATAATTGAAAATTTTATATATGTGCCATAGTTACGAATTTGTAGATTTGTTGACATGGAAAAATTAATTCTTAATTTTGAACATAATATTTAACCCTGTCTAAGTTTCACAATACTGTTTCAATATTGATCTAATTTTAATTTCAAAATTTATGACTACAACTTCAATTTTTCTTTATGACTACTATCTAATATTATCTATTTAATATTCATCTAATGAAAGAAACATGAATGTATTACATGTGCCTACATAAATAATAAGATTGATTAAAAGATGTAACAAGAATTATACCAAAGTTTTACTTATTAGTGAAATTAAAACGTACTAACATAATTCCCTTATCGACAAACAGAACCTACATCAGTAATTATAATATAATGTATCATGTATCTAGGTAAAGTAAATACATTGATGTAAATTAATTCCTATGAAATCTGCATGCCTAAACAAATTACAATAATATTCATTAATTTTCCAAATGTTCAATAATTTAATGAGAAGTGATGTAAAAGAAAATATTAATTAGTAAGATGAATTCTATTTGGAATAACAAGAAAACATTGAAAACCCTCTGGTATACAAAAGTATTATCAAAATATTGTTGTACCTTTGGAAATTAATGGTATGTTGTATAAGATAAGGACAATATAATTACTACTTACTGAACAAGTTCCAAAATTGAGTTTATTTTTTATTATTTCAAATATGCGCTGGTACTCGTATATCTACTTACAAGTAGTTCCAAATTTTTTACAATCATATTGCGTATATGTAAATAGATATATGTAATCTTAGTTTAAAGAAGCTTTATTTTTATATTTTGAGTTTTAATTTTACACAGGCGTGTTGATTACTTTTGCTATTTTTTCAATTAAGTATTTTAAAGTAAAAATCTTCAACTTTTTAGTAAAGAAAAACAAGTAGGTATTGCTTAATAACCAAAAAGCAAGAAAAAGCATAAGTTGATGACATAGAACTATACAGATAATTTCAGACCTTATAATTTTCTTTTATAATTTTTCATAAATTATTTTCCCATATTGCTCAATTCCAACATTTTGACTTTAAAAAAATAATTATTATCCATGATTAATTTGGCAAATTATTTTATTGTTATTATAAATTTTTTAATAAATTTAAAATTTAAAGTGTTGCCAAAAAGATAAAAGAGTACCTTACAGTTGCCATCAATTACTTTTGTTTTATTAAATAAAAATAAGTAAGGATTGCCAAGAAACACATAGCATTTAACGTAGCATTTATAATAAAAGAACAAAATAATAATGAAATTCACGATAAAAAGGCATAAATAAGGAGCAAGCAAATAAAAACAAAAATCATAAAAGTCAAAAGAAAAGGAATGAAATAAAAATTTACCAAAAAACTTTTAACATACAAACATTCAGAAAGATTGTAACTTCAGAGAAAATGAGAAACCCAAACAACAAACAGAAGCAAAATAAAATAACACAGTAAAAATAAATTAAATTGAAATCACTTTGCGCAATAAACAACACTTTTGGTCCATAAATTTATTTTCAAATTAAAAAAAAGTAACGTTTTCTTTTTGTCATTCTACCCTCTTTTAACTAATTTCTTTGCTTTTATATCCCCGTTAGTCGCTTAAAACTCTTTTAAATACTTAAAAGCCCAAATCCACTAAATACATATTATAAGTGAATAGCTATACTTGTATAAAAAAACATTAATATTTATGTTTAACGTATACATATAACAATTTTTAAGCACGCACATGGCCAATCAAGGCATTTACTTAGGTGCATTTACGTATGAACGCTGAAATACAAAATATTAGGTACATATGAAGATTAAAAAACCCATTCTTGTGTTTCACTAAATTTCTCTTTTCAAATTCTTTTTTCATTTCAAATAATTAATTTTCATATTAAAGGAAAGTGAAGAAGATAGGGGTAGTTAACAAACTCCACTATAAGGTATTTAAAAAACAAATCCTGGTGATGACATCATTAATTATTTTAATAAAATTTTTATACCATTCTCAAAATTGATTCATTTTCTTTCATTTCTAATGAATATTAACCATTTTTTAATGCAGTTGTTCTCATCGCAATTCATAGATTTTTATAGGATATTTTATCAATTAGAGTCCAATAAGGGGTTAAGTTTTAACTTTTATATACAATTCGTTTGTAAATGCAAAATGCAACCCGACTGTTTCTATATTCTATGTTCAACATTTCAATATAATATGCGAAATTGTGTATGAAAAATTATGTTCTAACGTACGTGCATTATATATTGCTTGTATTAGAATATTGGTCTTGCACGAAAAAAAAACTCAATGAACCCAATAAATTTGAACAATTTGTAAGAATCGGTAGTGAGGGAGGGGGGGAGTGGTATAGATACAGTTTTTTCAAATAACAGTTTGTTAAATAAGAAAGGTACCAGATTTTTCCTAGATATAAATAAATGCCTATAACTTCGGAACCATCCAATAGAGTAACCATCGGGAACTGGTTTCACAGGCGATTGATTGTTCTTTATATTTGCCCTTACAACAAATTTGATTTGAGCCATAGTTTTTGAGATAAAGATCGTCAAAATATGCAATAATAGTTAAAAGTTAACCTATAAAATATTTGCCTCTATCTCTCTCCGAATCATGCGAAAAAATCATATTACGTTAAATATGAAAGAAATTTATATACACTATTTTGATATCGTGGAATATTTTGATATTTCTTAAAATTAAGTTTTCCAAAGAAATTAAAGTCACTTTAAGTTTAACCATTTCATTTCAAATTGTTCGAATATTAATATATGAAATAAATCGCCAAAAAAATATCCGAAAATGAATTTCAACTGTAGTTCATATTTCAGCAAATTTTTCTAAATTTTATATACAATACGAGTATTTTTATAGTTAAAATTTATAAAATTTGTAAACATAATAGCAACACAAAAAATCAAATAAAATTTTCTGGAAATAAATAAAAAAATTTCAAATGTAGTTTAACATAACCCTTATGTAGATATTCCTCTACCATTACTATTATACTCGTATTGTAGAAATTTTTTGTTAGCAAAACTAAATATTGTTGTCATACCAAAAAAAAAAAAATATTATGTTTTTATTGCAAAAACTTTAAATAAATAATAAATTTATTAAAAAGTGAAAATATGCAAATATTTATCTTTGAAGTTAAATTACAAAATTTTTTTTCTTTCTCATTTTAAAACTGCTCCCTTTGGAATTTACAATATAAAAATATTACTTGCTTATAGTTTCATAAAAGCATTCTTACAAATATTTACTTTTTCGCTTTATTTAACTATAAAGTTATTTTTGAAATAAATTTCTAAAATAAAATTCTTGAACAACTTTTCTTCTAAACCTAAAAATATCTTAAAAGTGACAAAAGAATTTAATACGGAACACATAGGTAAGAGCATGTTTAAAATAAAACTTTATAACATAATTGCATACAGCAATATAAAATCAAAACTCAATAGAAATAAAAATGAGTAATAAAAAGAAGGAATAAATTCTACCGTAAACATAAACGACATAAGGATTAAGTAAAACGATGAAAAACTTTATAAAATCTTATTAAAAAGTTGAAATTTTGAAAAATTAAATCCTTTTATATAAATTTAATCATAGCGTTTGATTTCTTGTAATTTTGTCATAAAGTACGAGTCCCAAATGCCTTTAACTTTGTAAAATCGTTCGATTAAATATTCTTCATATAAATTCCTGATATTTTAAACTGTTTACTTGAGAGAGGGCAAATAAGAAACCAACAACCATGCTTCATTTATTTGCATCTTAGCCATAAGGTTATCAATCATAATAGTGATTTCAATGGTAATACTCCATGTAAAACAAATATCTGGTTAATTTTAAATTATACCTGTAAAATGCAAATATTTATAATGTTAAATTGTAAAACTCTCTGACAATTTTACAATAAGTAAAAATGATAGTTCCATTTATAAAATATTTAGGACATTTTCATTTTCTTATTATTATAAAATATTACTTTTTTATGTGATTGTCAATAAATTTTAGCAATAATTGACAAATAATCAAAATATTGTTGAGTCAAGAGTTATTTACTCTATGTAAATAATGCAACTTTTGTACATATATATAACGTATAATGTAATTATTTTGAATTTATTTTGTATGTACGTTTTATTATTGGAAAAATCAAAATCGAAATTTTTTCTATTTTTATTATTCTTTCATTCCTGTATTTTGTCAACGTTATAATATTGTAATAGTATATTGCCAGACATCCTTTTAAAAACAATGAAAAAAAAAAAAGAAAAAGCAAGGCCAACAAAAAAGAAAAAAAAAACAAGGCAAGAAAAAAAAGGAATTTTTAGAAATATTTCTGGAAAATTAAATTTAATATTTTTTTAACAAATTCAGAAGGGAGGAAAAATTGTTTTAAATATGTTTTACATCTTTCAATATAAAAATGTAAAACAAGAAAAAATGCAAAAAAATATTAAAGGAAAGCAAAATATCTACGTATGCAAGAAAAATGGGAAAAAGAGACAAGAAACATATTATTTTTTTATATTACATTATATTTATTCACATATTTGAAAATTTAATATTCAATCTTACTGCCTCTTTCTTTGTCAGACACAGCACAATAATATTCTTATTAAAGTTAACATTATACATTCTTTACTTTCTTTTCAATTCCTTTTTGAAAAATTTGTTTCGCTCAATACTGTTGTTGGTATCAAGAGCTCATCTTCCGATAAAATCAAGTTGAGCGTTATATATGTGTAATTTGTTTGTAAGTGTGCACGGTTTTTTTTTTTCATTTTGCGTATATTTGCTATCAATAAGATGAGATCGGTGACAGCCAAAGAATATAGAAATACTCGTACTTCTGAATTCAGTATACACATATGTATAATATGATAGATGTATACATATTTACAGAAAATAAAGAGTGGGAGACCAAATTTTTTATAAAATATGAAATCACTGTTTCTTAATATTGAATTTGCGTAAGGAAGAAAAAAAAAAGCGAAAAATTTCGGTTCAATTTATTTTCATTTTACGTTTTATGCTAACTTTTCTCTTACATTATAAATCTTTTTGAAAAAATATAATTTAAAAGGTAAGTAAAATACATACACAACGTATAGGTAAAAAAACGAACTCATATTCAATTTATTTTTCTCATTTCATATTATATTGTAATATTCATTTTTCATTTATATACCAAAAATATCCTGTACATGGTATAGTGTAGAAATAAAATGTATAATACATGTTATGGCTATATACATTTATGTACATAGAATTTGCACTGTTCTGTGTACTTTAACAATATTTCATTAAAAGAGATTTTCGCTCAGCTGCTGTCATTATTATGGTGTTTCTTAATTCTAGTAGCTGGACATCTGAATTCTATGAACTAAAATCTGAATAAGAATTTTAAGATATATACGAGGGATATTCTAAAGGCACGCTTTATGTATGCAATTTTACGAATATATTACATATAAAATTTCACTTTAATTCTGAATATGAATACTGTCCGTTCGATAATAATTTATAAGATATTTTAAATCTATTGTCACCTTTTGAAAATATTCACCTTAGAATTATGAAGTGTCCTTAATTTACGATTCTTTTCGTACATTAGCTAATTAACAAAAAGTATCGATAAAATTGAAATAATTTTCACATCTAATCAATTCATTATGACCAATTAAATAAATTTAGTGAAGTAAATTAAAGAATTACGGTGAATCGGGGATTAATACCACAAATGTAGTAAAAAACTTTATTTAAACTTTCTATGTTTTTATGGTTCTTATGTTTTTAGTTTTATGTTATAATTTTTATTCAAAATATTAAAAATGTCAGAAATGTACAATTGGCCAACATTAATTTTCTTCATTAACTAATATTAATTTTTTTATACTATTGCGTATGCCTTTTTTTTTGCTATTACTGTTTGCTATTCCATTACATTGTTAAAACGGTGTGATATGTTTAACATTTTTTCTTGTTGTTCGTAAATTCTCTAACGAAAAAGAGGAAATTCAAATCAATTTTATTATTCCGTTGTCGATATTATTTGCCGATAGCCTTCTACTATCATCCTGTTATTTGCCTTTTGTGATTTTGTTCCTGGAAAGGAAGTGTATAAAATCGAATTCAGGGAAAAAAATGTATATTAAAAGGAAACATGAACAGCAAGAAAAAAAATGAACATAGAACAAAAAATATTATAAAAATGGACAAGGTGTTCTTAGTAACAGTATTCGATATCACAATTTAGTGGAATCTTAACTAGTATCATCTTAAGATATTTTTTTTCTTTAAATCAAAGTAAATACAAAGAACGGTAATCACAATAAAATTTTGATATTTAGTTAAAATAGTTTTGATACTTATAAGAACTGCATTAGGTGTCTATAAATAATAAGGGAAATTATGTGATGGCACCATGTCGATCCAAACTTAAATAAACTACTTTTCAAGAAAAATCGGTCTATATGTTTGTGCTGTATTGTTTGATTAAGGTTACTTCGGTCATCGATTAACTTTTTGATCAAGTTAGGTCTTGAAACTGTGTCTTGAACAGGTCTTGACTGGCTTAGATTTGATTTGTCATTTTCGCTTTTTTCAAGGGCTTTAACTACGAGCAAAATTCAAATTTTTAATGATATATAAAGAAATTACCAACGTAAATAATAAAATTAATATTTGCGTTCTGTTTGCCAACAAAATTGAGTGAGAAAATTTTCACGAAATTGATTTAATAGTTGATTGCTGTCCTAGTATTTAAAATAAAGTGTTCAGGGATTTCATCAAACTCGAAAATACGCTTTGATTAATTGATATTAATTTATCACTTTTTATATGAAATTAGAAAAATAATATTTCATTTTTGATACCCTGTAATATGTAAACAAAATAGATAGAAAATAATTTTTAATGAAAGGTATATAGAATAGCTAGATGATGAATAAAAAGAATAAGAGATAAGAGTATAAAAGAAGAAAATATTTTGTATAAACCGGTTATGAAAAGCCTATCGACGTTCAGAACCTACACAAAAAATAAAAAAATAACCTAAGAAAAAAAAAATTAAATTACCTTGCTATTCCAATTTTCAAGGTTATTATCGAATAAACGCCGCATATACTTACTCATATATTCAATTTCTTTTATTATTATTCTTTTATTTTCCTCTTTATTTGCCGAAATAAAATTTTCACTTATTTGAGCACTTTCATGGAAAAAGCACTTGTATAATAAAAAGTGGCAAAACAGTAATGTAATAGAGAAAGAAATATAAAAATTATGAGGTATGAAATGAAGAGAATAATTTTCTCTTCTCAACAAATATTTCTTGTTATTCTTTTCTTTTTGTTATTATCATAACATGTTGATGAGTACACCTTGATGCCAATAAAATTATTATTTTTTGTTGTTTTTTTTTTCTTCTGAGGACATTTTGCGTGGGTATGTTTAGTACAATATATGAAGAGATATTGTGTATGTGTATAATATGAGGGTTGCTAATAATATT